CGGCGGTACAGGGGAGGCTTGTGGCTGGACCCGGTGGTCCGGGCAGGTCCACAGGGTCCGGCAGCTTGCCCTGCTGCCCTTCCTACTTGTCACAGATATGTGCTTTTAAGAGGTCTTCACCCTGCCTTGCTCGCCCACCAGCACAGCTGGGTACCACTGCGGGAGAGGCCGTGAAGTGGAGGAGCATCACGGCCCTTGGGAAGGCACAGCATCCCCAAAGTAGGGACTGCCAGATGGACATTGCCCTGGGGGATTTTGGAGAGCAATAGCAAACATGGAAATTCCTTGGGCATCTTCAAAACCTCACTAGTACCCTGGTCTGCAGGTTTACTCATTTCTCTGGCTCTGCAAGGTCTATCCTGAAAGATTTACCCTCCACCTTTGCCAGTCCTGTGCCAGCCCCACCGAGATGTCCGAGCTCGCTGGGACCCAGAAACCCCGCGGCGCTGGGCTGTGTCACGCTCCAACCCCTCATTTTGGAGAGGTCGCTGAACAGCAGCCAGACCCTGACGATGTCCAAGCTCTTCTGGCCCAGGACACTGGCGTCCCGATGGGAAAATCTTCGTGTCCACCCCTTCAAAAGAGCCAAAGTCAGGAGTAACCACAGCCTAGAAAAGCAGCTTAGAAGGACGGCTCTTACCTTCCTACAGAGCAACTTTTTATAAAAAAAGCTAGGGATTCATTATGGACATAAGCACATTCCCCAAATCACCACATGGGCTTTCCAAAGCTGGCATTAAGACCCACAGATCTCCCACCAAACCAATTCTGGGCTGAAATCTTCTTTGTTATTCATGGCCACGGCGGAGGCTGCTGTAACAAACAAGATTATGTTCTTAAATATTCCCAAGGAATAACTCCCCTAAGTCAGTTTTTTTTGTAAATGCCTTTCATTAATTCTCTGTGGTGCTGGCACGCCACCCGATCCATATTCATGTTGGTATTTGCTTGGGTTTTATGCAAATGACAACTTTGCCTTTATTGCAAGGTATTTCTGTATTCTGTGGCTGGTGCGGATTCTTTGGCTGTTGCAGACCAGCGGTCCCACATTAACCTCTGTTACGCCGGATAGCCGGGGGTTAACTCAGCCAAAAACCTGATCCTGAGCCTGCTGCTAATGTCACAGATTCAAATCTTCTCAGTGACCACATTTTTAGCTCAGAAAGCAGCATGCATCCCTAAGAGGTGGTAGCCGATACCCATGGTGGCAGGAGCAGCCCTCCTGCCCTCCACGGCTCAGGTGCAGACACCGACAGCTCCCCAGTATTTTCCCCGATGCTTTTTTGGAAGGAAGAATCAGAGCAGGAAGGGTCAGGGCTCTGGAAGATGTTTTTTCTGGAGAATGCGATAAGAAACCAGAGGGTGCCTGAGGATGCTGCGAGGCAGAGCATCTCCCCCGGGGCGGGCAGAGCCTCCCCCAACGTTATTAAAATTTCGCACCCCGGCTGCACGCTGTGTGCAAAGAGGCTTTGCCCCTGGGCCAGCCCTCGGCTGGGGGTGCAGCGCTGAGCCCCCCAGCCACGTTACAAACCAGAGAGGTGCTTCCCGCAGCCCATCGCATCCCCCTTCCAGTGCTGCCCAGAGGAGCTGTGGGCATGAGCCGGGGGGAGACAGCGGTTCATGGTGATCCTCTGGTTCACAAGCTGTCCTCGAGCTCCCGGGTTGAGCCCTGACCCTGCAGTGGCATCGCTGGCTGGGTTGGGGCTAGGTCACCCGCTCTGGCCAGGACCCCCTGGGATGCCGTGGGATGGAGTCAGGGGAAAGGGAAAGAATGGGGAAGGGAGGAAAACGAGTTCTCCTAAACTGAGCCCCAGCATGGCCCTGGCACGGTCTGCACCCTTGCCCGGGGGAGCAGGGATGGGGTCTGCCCCCCGCCCGGGGCCAAGCTCAGCAGCAGCGTTCCTGGTGCAGGCACTGGGCTGAAAACCTCTCGTCGCCCACTATGGCAGGGCGGGCGCAGCCCACTCACCATGCTCAGCGTGGCTTTATCCCAGGGACTGAGGCTCAGGTACCTCCGCTGGCGTTCCTGCAAGCAAACGGAACAAGAAGCTGATTTTGAGGCTCAAAGGGCTGAGGTAAGGTTTGCAAATCAGGGAAGGAGCTCTGTGCCCCAGGGTGCTCCCACTCCCCCATACACGCAGCCACAGGGGACATCGCGTGGGCACAATGACTATTCTTATTTTTATTTCTTATCTTTTACTTTTTTAAAGTGAATGACATTTGAGCGTGTTTTGCGCTTGCAGAGCGCTGTCCCTGGAGTTCATCCAGGCAATGAGAAATAATTTCCCTGAGAGGTTTCATGTTCTGGCTAATCCTTCCCTTTGACATGCCTGGTCCACCTTGCTGCAAGCAAAACCAGAACCGAGCAAAACAACCTGCTCATCGACTGCAGCACGTTGCAAAGTCTCCTTCCTCCTTACGCCGGGCAAAGCCGTGCTCTGTGATGCCGAAACGGGGCCAGCTGAGTCTTACCCCAGCGGCAGGAGGCAACGATCCCATGGCAGAAGGAGGGGTTGATGTGGAGGGAGGGTGCCGGGGGCTTTTCATACCTTCCTGCTGAAGGAGGAGAAGGGGTCCAGGCGCTCTTCGTATTGGGAGGAGTAGCGCTGCTCCGTGTCGTCCCTGCTGCCGCCCTGCGGGAGCAAAGACCGGGTAAGGGCCAGCGGGCACCGGTGCTGGCGTGGGTGCCTGTACCTATCCCCCCCAGTGCAAGCCGGGTATGGACACCCAGCAGAGGGCCAGAGCCCACCCAGTTCCCCTGAGCTGCTGGTTTGGAAGAAATGATCCCCAAAGGATGGAGCAGCCCAGCCCAGAGCTGACCCGCGGGGCCGACAGCATCTGTCCCCTTCCAAAAGGAGAAGCACAACAGGAGCTATTTAACTAATTCTTTCTTCCGTCGGGACTCCACCCATGTCTCCCTATTTTTTCCCCTTTCCATGAGATAATCGTCATCTGTGTCACCCCAGAGAGCCCATCTGGAAAAGCCTGGGCTAGTGCAAATCCCACTCTGAATTCCTTTGCTGCTCGGCCAAGTAGGAGGGAGACAGCGGTTTAGGAGGAGGAAATCATTGTTTAAACATACAGCTGTTATTAGCTGGGCAAAGGGCAAGGAAAATGAAGACGACTCCTTGAAAGAAGTGAAAGATGTAGGTCGGTTCAGACAGACTGGGTTTTAAACTTCCCCTGGGACAGAGGTTCCCCTGGCGCAGCCTCGCCGGCAGTGCTGGAGGAAGGGCAGCAGCGAGCCCCGAGGATGCTCGCACAGCCTGCACATCCCTGCTCCTCCTCTCTCCAACGCTACCTCTGCAGGTCACAAGAATTGGAGATTCCACATCATTCCTACCCAAAACCAGCCTGGAAAGGGCACGTGCTGTCACCAGGCATGGTCACAGTCCGGTGCAAGCCCTGGCTCCCAGTTACACGAGCTGCACATCCCTGCCCAAAGGCCCCGGTGCTATTCCATCTCTCTCCCCCAGCACCATGCCTTCTCCACCTCTGCCCCGCCAGCACGGTGATGCTGACATTTACCGAGGTCTTTCTGGACCCGTTACTACGTGCCGCTGGTTGTCCTGCCCGGCCAGCCCAGCACACTGGCTGGTGGCTCTGTTTCACCGCGGGTAAACCCCGCCGCACACAGACCTTTAGCAAATATGCCCTTACGCACCGCAATACGATCTGCGGGTCACCGCGCAGTCAGAAGCCAGCGATGAGACCAGCGCCCAATTTAGGGGTGATGAATTCACTATAGCCTGGCCTTATTGAATGATCTTGGATGATTATTTTTAACGTGTCACATGCCCGATTAGGTAGTGAATTATGCAATCCCCCGTGCTGCCGTGTCGAAGGCTTTTGCTCTTTAGCTCATGTGAATGGCATTCAGGGGTTGCCTTGTGGCAGCAGATAAACATGGATATGATCCGCCGCGGGAGAAACGGGCAAAAATGTCAGAGGGGCCGACCCAGCGTCATCACTGAGACATAAATAAAAGAACCAAATAAGGTCCTTCACGGCTGTAGGAGTTTCCCCTCCCCCAACGTTATTAAAATATCCATCAATAAAAGGGACTCGGGCCAGCCGGTGTGGAAAGGCAGCAGCTGCAGGGGAGGACGGCAGGGCAGGCAGGGTGAGGAGCTGGCGTTCGAACCGATGGCCCACCCTCCGTTATTGCCACTTACGCAGTTATAAGGAAAGCCCGAGATGACGATAGCCCAGCTCCGACCAAAGAAGTGCTTACAGCTGAAAGCTCCCCGGGCAGCAGCCTGACCCGCTTTGCAAAAACTCCAGGGATTTCCAGGGATGAAACCCCTGAGAGACACGGCGCGAGCAAAGCAGGTTGCAGCAAAGGCTAGCGTACCTCCCCAGCCGCCTCCTGGTGTTACTGGTGTTACTGGGATGGTTTTGGGTTGGTTTCTGCTCTTTTGGGGACAAGCCCTGGCTGCCCAGGGGAGCGGGAAGCTGAGCAGCTCGCTCTGCTGGCCACAAGAAATTCAGGGCGGTGGGGAATGAGCATAGGTATGACAGGATGAATTATTTTTCGGGCTCTGACTGCAGAGATTTATTGCAGAAGGCCCCAATTTAACCGCTTGTTGCCTGGTCGGGCAGGAGCATCCACGACTTGCCTGCTGGAGCATCACGCTGCCGGCAGTGAGCATCACAGGGGTTTGCAGCAGCTCCCTCGGGAGGCAATTTGAACTTCTGGCATCAAAGATGTCAGACACCCTTAAGCACAGTTAAAAACTACCTTCCCGGCAGAGAGGCTGGGTATCTGCTCCTCTAGAGAGAGCACTGCACCCTTTTTTACCCCCAATCAGCTCCTATTTTCTAACTTTTACGCAAGGTGCGTGTGGGTAATGCGCAATTGCCCCATTGCTCCTGTACACAGAGGGTAACGGTCTGTGTTTGGGGTCTGTCCGTCCGTGCGAACGCCGGCGGAGGACAGCCAGCCACTCACCCGGCCAGGGTAGCTCTGCAGGAACTTGATCTTCTCGTAGAGTTTGATGTTGTCAGCTCGCAGGTTGTCCAGCTCGCTCTGCAGGGCATGCACCGTGTGCTGCATCATGCGGTTCTCCTGCATGGGGGGAGAGCGAGGGGGCCGTTAGCAGCGAGGCCGGGGGGAGGACAGGATCTAAGCGGGTGGGAGGGAGAAGAGGGAGTTGATTCGGGGCATCCAGCCAGGGTTCAGTACCCTTTCAGTAGTTAAAAACCCCCAACGCTGAATTAAAATTACTCCCAAATTACAATTGTCCCAGCTAACGCTGAAGGGGGCCCCCAGTCCTGAACCATTAACGAACCCGATCCCTCCGTGGCCGAAGGAGGGCCGGGGCAGCCAAGGTGGCTGTGGGTGGCTTTGGGCTGAGACCTGGCCCCCACGGGAGGTGCAAAGCCAACCTGCCAGCTTTGAAGAGGTTACTTCGAGCTGTACTTCAATTCGTAGAGCTATTGGGTTTTTACCCCAAACCGTATTCCCCATGTGCGTCCCCAAACGCTGTGCCAGATGGCCAAGCACACCTGCAAGGCGACAGGGATTTGGACCCGTCCTTGAATCGGAGCAACAGCGATGGGCTGGGGGAGGCTTTGGTCCTGCTAACAGCAGAATATATTTTCCTCTGGCTTCCATTGGTGCTGCCTGCGTTGTGCTGAGAATAAATTTCCTGCAGGTCGTTAGAGCAGCCGGCTTCAGACTGCGGGTCCTGCAGCCCCTGCCAGCCGCCCTCCCCACCCGACGTACCCCCTCCAGCTCCTGGTTCCTGGCCCGGAAGCGTTCCCTCTGGCTGGAGATGATGGAGAGGAGCGAGTCCACCTGCCCCTCGGGGAATGAGGTGCCAGGGGACGGTGGGTGACCTGCGGACAACATTTGGCATGAGAGATGAGCCAGCAGATGCCCACCAACCCCCCGGAGCAAGTGGGACTTGCTCGAGGTTCCCCCCCAACACCGTGGGACCTCGTGGGCACCCAGGCAGATAAACTGTGCACAGTTATTGCAACATGGACTAGTTTTTATGCTTTTTTTTCTTTTTTGGGGACTTATCCTGGAAATAGACAGGATTACTCTCCAGGGAAGACCAATTGCATTATTTGGGGCAACCAGCGGCTGCCTTCCCATGACCCCCGTCCTCCCAGTCCCTGCATCTTCTGCAGCAACCATAGCCCTAAGAAAAGACCCAGTGCCACAACCAGCCCCTCCATCCACGTACTCTTCTCTCCCCTTCCCCTCCTTGCAAAACGGTCACCCCCATTTTGAACTTTCTCCTCTTTCAGCCAGCCCAGCAAAGCAGGGGCTGCTCGCCCGCAGCCATCACCAGCTTGCCATGCCCGGGAGCCCCATTTTGTTTGTGGGTGCCCCACGCAGCTGCCCCTCCATGACTGGGGTCTGCAGGTGCCTGGGGGGCTGCGGCCATCCCATCTCTCTCTGCCTTCCCGGCAGTGGGAGGCATCTACGGCCAAGGAGAAATACGTCCCCGAGGCCGTGACTCAACCGGCTGCACTGAGGAGCTATTCATAGCGCAGGATGGGTGGCTGCAGGTTGTTTGGCTTGGTGGGACTGTTGCTGTGATATTGTTTATCGTGTGTTTTCAAAACCTTGCAAAACAAAAAACAACAAGAAAAAAAAGAAAAAAAGGAAAGGAAGTAGGTTTTCTTCCAGAGGAGCCAAGCATCGTTATTTGTTTGATTCATTTTCTCCTGCAGACCTCAGCGCAGGAGCCAACGTAAAGGAAACGTTTAGCTCGTTGGCTCTGGAGGGGGTTTGGTGTGGAAAGAGCAGGAGGTAAAGCACAGGGTGTGTGGTTCAGCCTGGGTTCACTGGCTCAGCACAGAGCCAGGCCTGGCACGTGCCCGCCGCACCACCGCGGGAGCAGCCAGAGGACTGGCAAGCTGTGCCGAGCACAGAAAACCCATCACCGGCCCCAGCGAAAGGCACGCTGAGCAGGCAGTGTCTGTGCCTGCTTAGGAGCATCCTCATGCTGCCACCCCCGGAGAGGTGACCACCCTGCCCATGGCACCAGGATGGCCCCTGCCAGCACCGCGGCTCGCAGCACGGCTTCGCCTCTCACCATAAAACAGTGCCGTGGCCTCCTTGATGGGCTCAGGTATCTTCTCCAGGCTGGGGACGGCCGCACCCTGGGCAGCACAAGTAGAAGGGATTAAGCATTTCCCACCCGCCTGAAAGTGCTTGGTCAAAGCAAACCCCTTCTGGGTCCTGCTACCACCCCAGCACCCGCAGCCTCGTGGGAAGCATTGCTGCCAAACAGGCACTCTGCAAGGATCAAGACTGAGACAACCCCTCGAATCCCATCCTTTGCCCAGGAAGGAGAAGGGCTGGATGGTCCCTGGATGCCACCACCGCCACCCCCTCCCATGCCAGGGTGAAGGCACCATCCCATTGCACGGGCACGATGCGACCCTCTGCCGAGTGAGTCGTGAGAAAGAAAGAAAACGGAGGGGAAAAAAAAGAAGAAAAAAGAGGTGCCTGCTGTTGATCCCTCATCAGTGACAGTCAATGCCTGGGGTCATTTAGGGTGGTCCCTGCCCGCTGACGGGAACAGAGTGCCGTGGGTCGGGGTTACCTCTGCATCCGGGCGATGCACGGTGGACAGGGCTTGGATGGTGCTGAGGTCGTGCTCCAGCTTGGCGATGAGCTCCTTCTGGCCAGCCAGCGTGGACACAGCCTCCGTCAGCTGGATCTGCAGCTCCGCACAGCGCACTGGAAAACAGAGCCGGGGCCGTCACCCAGGGGTGGCCCAAAACCCCAAGTTTTGCTAAGCGGACACCGAAAAGCTGAGATCCCCCCACCTGGAGCATCAAAGCCAACGCACAGGCAGCAACCCCGTTTTCTCCTTATTTCTGGCGGTGGCAGGAGGGACCACACCAGCAGTCCCTGCTCTGCTCCAGGCAAAGAGGACCAGGGGCCCAGCCCACCTTGGTGATGCCCCAGCATGGGCAGCCATCCCTCGGCAGGACCAGTGCCACGTCCCAGTGCCAGCGGCAACGCGAGCAGGAGCTGCTTGCACCAGCACGGCTGCTTCAAACGCATCAGCAAGATATTTTTGGTGCCCCAGGGGTACCTGGCAGCATCGTGGCTGGGCAGAGTGGGGGGACCTGAAGAGGGATAAGGGGAGCTGAGCTCACAAACCGATCCCCGGCTCTGGTCTGCACAGAAAAGGCGCGATGGAGGAGGCTCCGGGCAGCACGTCCCTGGCCGTGGGTGCCGAGACAGGCACGCACAGGGTGGATGGCTGCCATGGGGTGGGGGACGTCTCCCAAGAGGGGCTCAGGTGGGACCAATCCTGTCCCCAGGCGCTAGGTGAGGCTGTGCAGCCCCCAGCATCCCCGTTCAGCTAATTTTTGACAAACGAGCACTCTTTTTAGTAGCCCCCCCAAAGTAAAACCCACGCCCTAAACCACAACAGGCGCTTGCTGGAATGCTCCAGGAGCAAAACAAAAGCCTCTTGTTCCCCTCGTGTAACCTCGGCCCAGATGCGAAGCAACGGAGAGAGGCGTCAGGGCCAAAACGCAGCTACAGCAAGAGGCACAGGACCGGCCCCGCAGGGCAAGCTCCTTGCTCCGTTTGCAAATCCATCCCGAGACACAGAGCATCAGCAAGCAGGAGCCCTGTCCCGCAGCAGAAATCCACTTGTTTCACCTTTCTCCCTTGTTGCCAGCAACATCTGGGCCTCTGCCTGACGAAAAAAACGCTCAGATCGAGGCTCAGACCCTGCGTTTTGCACCACCAGCCTCTCCGCAGCAGGGACGCAGGATATGTCCCTCTGTGCCTGGATTTCCAGGTGGGTGAAAGCTCAGGTCCCAGCTGTTCCAGGCTCTCCCTGATAATTCCCATTGTAATTATTCCCCTAAATTCCAGATGGCTGCAAGGCAAAAAAAAAATAAAAATCCTCATTTATCAACAGCCAGGGAGCAAGGAACGCAGAGGCTGCCCGGGAAGGAGCCGTGCCGGGGGAGAAGCGAGGGCAGACCATTGCACCTGCGGGGTCTCCGACCCTCTCTGAAGACTTCAGACGAGAGGGGCAAAGCAAGTGCAGCTCAATTCCAGTTCACCCAGTCCTGCCCGGCTGGGAACCTCCCCACGCACCCCAAAACCGGCTGCGGAGGGGGGGGTCCTCGCACAGCGCTCGATGCCCTACAGAGCCAGGAGGGTTGGGCTCAGAGCAGCAGCGATGGGGGCTTGAACAAAGTCATGCCCAAAGCCAACGCTGCTTTCCCACGAAGCAGGGGCTTTGCTGGTGCAAAATTCTCCCTTTTTTGTCAGAAACGCAATTCCTCTGTTATTCGTAAGGGACCAAGCCTGCTTGCAGGGAAAGGGAGGTGACCCATGCTTCGGACACAACCCCCGGATTTATTTTTTCCCCTGCCTGTTTGCATTTTGTAGCCCCCCAAGAAAAGGCTCAGGAGCGAGGCAGGAGCCGCTGAGCCAAAGGCACAGCCCCACTGGAGGTCAGTGTTTCTCAAGAAACGGAGAAATCGCTGCCTGCTCCCAAAACATGGGTGGCCTGACGCAAAATAGTTGCATTAACAAGATTTGGAAAGAAGAAAAACCTCTTCCTTATGGTTAATTATTTAATTGGCTCTCTCTTTAAATTGCATTAAAATGTAATTGGGAAGCTATTACTAGCCAAACATGGGCGGTGGGGTCCAATCCTGCACAAGGCAGCCTGGATCACGGTGGAAAGGGCCTGACACGGCCGGGAGCAGAGCGGACGTGGTCCCTGCCTCCCACCCTGCCCAAAAAAGCTTTGCAAAATCTGAGCTTTGGCATC